CTGCCACTGAACGGCAGGCACGGCGCGGCCAAAGTCCCCAGCACTGCTGAGGGGGAGCCTTTCTGTCGTGTTTGCTCCTGTAACTCCTTAAACCAGCAAATGACACAGCGGTGACTCGCGGTTTTACCTATTCCCCACCACGTCATCCATCGCTTACAAGCACAAAAGTCACCAGGCCCTATAATGCTGTCCGAGGCCATTTTTTCCGTCCCTCACCCAAATCTCACTCTCCATCACCTCCTGCGAGCTCCTTCATTTCTAATTTATCCCTCCACTGCCTTTATTTGCTTCCTGGAAGGATTTGCTTCAGTATTTGACTTTAAAACCGAGTATTTTACTCTAGATTTGAGGGGCTGCCATCCATCCCCACGCATGGAGGACGCACAGGGGTTGACAGAGCTGGGGTGTCCAAGGGGTTCAAGGGATCTGAGGGACCAGACATCCCCTCCCTTTCTATTTCTTTTGGTTTTTAAGGAAAAAAAGAAGAAGTCCAAATCTGATTTCATCATTCCACGCTGCAAACCATCCCTGGGTGAAAGCTGGGTCCCTCATCCCGCAGAGGAGCGAGCGGCGCCTTCATTTTGGATCATTTTTCTTTCGGCAAACTCATTCAGTGCCTATGGGGTCGCTGGCTTCGGTGCTCAGAGCAAACCTGCTGCTGGCCAACTGAGTTAAAAATGGGTTTACAGACAAGGGCCCGTCACTCTGCCAGCAGGGATAAGGACGTTCCTGTGGAGAGCACCCACGGCGGCGTCCAAAACCAGCGCGAACCCCACCAACCCCACCAGAACCAACGATGGGATGACTGTGGCGTGCCCCTTTGATTGAATTTGGGGTGGTTAAAGGTTCAACTTGCCGCTGGTGTGAGGAGATTTGTGCAACGCAGAGCGGAGGGCCCTGCCGCCGGAGCTTGCTAAAGGTCCTGAAAGGCTGCCAGGTCCTTCTGGCTGGCGCGTGGGCCGGAGCGTGCCCGCTCATCGTCCTGCCAGGACCTTCCCATGGGGATTCGTCGGATAGCACAGGCAAATCACTACCAAATGAAACAATAACAGGGGAAACCAGAGACCCCGGAGGAACAGAGGGAGGGAGATCTTGCAAGGAAAGGCCGTGTGGACTCACAAAGAGGATTATTGCGGCCAGGCGTTAAATTAAGGGTGCGGAAACGCCTGCGTGTGCAGAGGAGGAAGCTGTGCCCGAGGTGCACAAATTCACTAGCTGTGAAAACAGCCTTAGCAATCAAGAATAGGAAAGCACTGGCTGTTTTAGGCCACTTCCTCTGTTTCACACACTGGCAGCATCACTGCTCTCTGCCTGCCTCCTCCCCTCACCTTCAGCCCCTGCTCCTTCCAACCTCCCCATCTCCAAAAGCCTCTTCCAAAAAACGCTTCTCCAGATGCTCATCTGCTCTGCCACTGCCTTGTGACGGACGGTGCCGCTGTTTATGGTAGCATTTTGGCAAGTTCTGCTCTGGAGATGGACCTCTGCAGCTGACATCTCAGCACCACTTAAATCTTCATCCCTGGAGATGGCAGCATCCTCCCCAGGGAACGGATGAGCAGCTTTTCCTGTTTCATTCAGTGATCTGAGGATCCTCTGCGGCTACAGAATTCAGGGCTGGGCAAACAGCTGCCCACCTAGACGAAGTGGTGCAGCAGCAGCACATCTGTGCAAAGCTTTGGCTAAACTCGCAAGAGAAAAATCAATTATGGCAATTAAGAAGTCGCTGCTTCCCCCAGAAACCTGCTTTCCATACGGCTGCGCTGGGCATCGCTCCTGAGCCATCAGGGACGTGCTGTTTTGGGAGGATCCAGCCTAAACGAATGAAGATGTGACTGCTGTGCTGGCTCTTTTCCCCTCGCTGAGGTGTACCAGGCACCTGCTATAGCAATGGCCACAGTGCCAAAGATTTTTGGCCAAAGTTGTCCCCATGGGCTACCAGCAGCAGCTGCAGGCTCTGCTCGCTGCCACCAGCTCTGTAGATCACCAGACAGCCCATCAGTAAGCCCCAAATGAAGGATTTCTTCAGGTACACATAGAAGACGCTGAAAACGTGGCTGTGACAATTGATGTGTACCGCAGGACTGGGCTCCCCATTACTGGTGGCGTCTGCAGGACCCGTTTTCTCCTCCAGACCTCAGGATGGATGGGAAACTGAGATGTCTGCAGGCTCCAAATCCCCTCAGCCAGGTGCAGCTGTGACACACGGCTTAGAAATGCTCTTGCTCTGTGCTTTCTCCAGAGCAACACAGCAAAGCTCTTTGGTTACGGCTGGACTCCGTGATCTTAAGGGCTTTTTCAATTCCACGATGGTACAAAGCCATTTTTGGCTGCTGGAGGACCCCAGGACGGTGCTGCAGAGCTGTGCTCCCACGGCTCAGCACAGGAGGACAAACCCAGTCCAGGAACATCTGGGTTTGTGTATGCGTCAACAGACTTAACTCGTGTGTATTTGTACACACAGGTCAATGCAAATGTTCCTTCCTTGCACACACATTCCTCCACCCAGCAGCTCTTCCGTGTTGCCAACCATCCTCCCATCACCAACAGGCTCTCGAGCTTTACCCACAACCTATTTTCCATAAAACACAGGCACAGCAGAAGCGTAAGAGTCCAAAATAAAAGAAGACTTCACATTACACAAACATGGAAGAAAAAAAAAATACCTTCAAATGAAAAAACCAGAGCCCCAAACCGCCAGCCACTGTTACTATCGAGCACACTACGACGACGTTACTCCTTCCTTCCAAAAAGTTTGTATTTAAGCTTGTGTAAGACAGTAAAACCACACTCACTAATCCCCTTTTCCATGCTTCAGCTGGTTTAATAGCATAGAAATATCCCATTGCTGGTACCCGTGAGCCCTGGGAGCAGGAGGAGGAGGGGATATGCTCACCTTCAGGATGGGAGCCATGAAGACAGACACCCCGGTCAGGATGAAGACGATGACTCCGGTCACCCTCTGCTCCCTGCAACAAAACCGCTGGGTTAGGGCTGTGTCTGCAGCTTTTACTCTGCTTTCATGCCCTCTCAGGGTACTCGAAACCAACAGAAACCCCAAAACCCTCATTTTTGCAGCCACATTTCCAAGGCAGATGGGTGATTACAAGCCAGCAGCACCGGGCAGGTGTCTTCTTCCTGACTGAGCATCATATGTGTATTTTTTTTGAGTATCAGAGCAGTTTTTGTGCAGTCTTAGCTCCTTCTGTGTGTGGATCAGCTCCTGAGCGAGGAGGAGCGTGTTTGCACATTAAACACTAGAAACCATAGCTAGCAAACCGAATTCTCTGCACTGCAGTATTTACAGCATGCAAACAGGTCATAAATCATCAGCACCCTTGATTGAACTCCTGTATTTTGAGCCCTGGTCACGGCATGCCAGTAGTTGGATAAATGCGGTCTCTCACCAAGCCGCTCTGCGCCCCGAATGTTTGCAGTTCCTTCAGCAGCACCCACACCCCCTCCTGACCTCCCAAAATAATCTTCCCTGATCGTATTTCCGAGTACTGAAAGTCAGGCCATCAAATTCCTATTTAGTCACCTAAAAGGGGCTTCATTTCCAGAAATGCTCCTCACTTGAATTAAGGCAACCAAATACAGAAAAGTCACTCGAGTAGAACTGACTGCTCTAGGCACGGCAAATTGAGGGTGTTTAGCATTATGTCTGCTAATGAACGCCTGCCTAAATTAAATGGACAGGAAATAAATCTACTACTTATTTATCTTTTCTCCAACACCAGAAAACTGCCCCTGATCTGGCTGAACCAACATTTGAGGAGCTACAGGGGGATTTGCCCAAGGAGTTGCCAGAGAGCAGCGCTGCTAAATCTCACCAGCAGGTTTGGAAATAGGAAGCGAGCAGCACCAAATTCTTGGTGACAACTCTTCAGCATCATGCTGGAAAGCTCTGCGTATTTAGGGGTGATTCGAGCACGTGTGCCCTAACCAGACACAGAAAAGGACTCAAACCCCGGTGCAAAGTTTCCCTCCTTGTCCTCCCTTTGCTCCCAGTTTGCCCAGTCCCTGTCCTCAGGAATGCAAATACTACACCAGTTTACTTCCTTTTCAGGAAAAGAGTATTAGCAGAAGGGCAGATAAACTTTTAATTGGATATATCCTCCATAGGATACATTTAT